AATCTCTTATATGCCTAGCCTAGACAGTTTCCTCTTCTGAATTTAACTGCTAACATCTCCATTTAAATGTTGCAAGGACACTTCAGTCTTAACATGTCCAAAAGTGCACTCAGGACCTCCCGTGTCCAAAATCTTTTCTTTCTTTGTGACTCCCAGTCTAAGTGTATATACCGAATTAGAAACCTAGGATTGATCCCTGGCTCCTTCTCCCCCATCTCCCACATGCAATCAGTCAGCAAGCTCTGTCTGATCATTTTTACCACCAAATATGTCTTGAGGCTGTCTGCTTCTCACCACGATCACCACCACTGCCACCCTAGTCCAAATTAGCATCATTACTCTCTTGCCTACCCCCATGATGGAGGGTGGAAAAGCTAAATATGTATTTTCCAGCTTCCGTGGCAGCTAGGAGTGGCCATGTGACTTATTTCTGACCAGTGAGGCACTCCTGGGGGTGGGGGGAGACTTCAGAAAGTTCTGAGAAGATATTGTTTTCCTAATAGAAATAACAGAGGGGCTGCCATTGTCCCTTGACATCTTTCAGCTGCCTTGAATACAGACTTCATTCCCAGAGCTGAAGCAATCATCCTGCAGCTTATGGAAAGGATACTAGAATCAACAGAGATGTGATCAGTTTTGAACCATTAGACCGATGGCCAGAGCTGCCTATCTCTGTCACACTGTTATATAAGAAGCATAATTCCCCTCTTGTGTGAGCCACCGTCTGTTGGGTTTCCTATTCCTTACAGACACTTTCCTAACTGACCCATTGAACAAGGTGTTTAAGAGCATAATCCATTTTTTGATCTTCCTGTGTGTCAAATGAATATAACATCATAATGACTGGGCCGATATGATAGTGTGAGGTTTAAAGAGGTAACACTTGACACTCAATAAACACACAGTGGTAGTAATTTTTAAATTAGAACATCTGAACTCTTTGGCCTCTTTAGGTCCCAGCTAGCCCTGTGCATGTGCATTTCACAAACATAATCACATCACAAATAGCAGATGGGAAGTAGGTCCCTGTGGTCCCAAGAAGACAGGCACAACGTGCTTGCTTGCTGCCAGGGACAGTTTCCACTGAGCTGAGTTTTAGGAGAGCAGTTAGAGGCTGAAGCCACCACTCTTTGGAATCAAAGGACTACATGGCTGAAATCATCTTTGAGTTTCCAGCCTCCTGGTGGCATTGTTTGCCTGTATCTTGCATCGCATATCCCAGCCAGCCTTGTTTGCCCTGCTTCCGGGCACCTGTGAACCATCTTGCCTTTTGACAGATCTGGCATATTTCACGTGGAGCTGCTGAGTTCCAAAAACTGGGCACCTGAAGGCTGAACAGGCGAGAACAGGTCTTCTAATCAGCTGTCCTGACTCAATGAGAAGACCTAGCAAAGAGGAAGCTACAACCCCAGGCTGAAGATTAGATGACAGGATACCCAGAGTTTTACTCGTACATTATATGAGGTTTCCCCTGCATGTCCAGAAAAAAGAGTAAGTAGGGGAAACAAAAAGATAGAAAAGAAAATGCATGAAATAGGCTTGCTGGAGATGGCCGTTTTATCAACTGTTCTAGGAGATAGCTGGCATCACCTCTGCTTTGCCTCCAGCCCTCTGAAGTTATTTTTAGCCATGAGTAAGAGGGATTCTTTCTTCCTTCCTTTCACATCAAATGCTGTGCTGGAAAGTGATCAAGTGTATGGCCAGAGCTGAGAATCGCATGGGCTGTATCTCTGAATAGGAATTTGGCCAAAATGCAGCCGCCTCTGAGGCATCTTGCTGCAGGCCACTGGGAAGAGCCCTCAGAGACTTGGAGGATGAGAAAAAAGCTGAAGCCTGTGGTAGGGCTGTCTTGTCTTATTAAAAGGCAGCACTAAGGGAGAGGAATAATTACCACATAATATTCAATATTTGCCCAAGGAATCTGGGGAAAGCCTGTTGGGGGGAGGGGCAATGAGAGGGAAGATGTTACTTTTATAACCGCACATCAAATTCTTGGAGTTACGTAGATGGGCACATGTCAACAGCATTCTTACCAGAGGAGATTATTATTTATTCAGTTTTGAGTGTAAGCCAGTCATTGGTATAGTTTTTATGTATTTATTCCAGTTAATCCTCAAAATAGGATTAGAGCTGGGTGAGCTCGATGATAATATTTCCATTGGACAGGTGATGTTTGGAGCAGTTCTATACCTTGTGCAGGGACGTGCAGGTTATAGATGGCTTTCCAGTGTGATATAACTACGTAGAAATGAGAGCAGATGCAGTTTATTGCATGCCTACTTTGTGCCCTGAACTTTAGAGACCTGATCTCAACCCCTCTAAGGGTTGGATGTTATTATCTCCTATTTATCAATGAAGAAACTTGAGATTCCAAAACGTTAAGAAATTAGTTAAGTAACTGGACAAGATGATCCATTTCTGCAACAATAAAAGGAAAAAAATAGCATCTCCTTTATAGTGTTCTGTTGTTCTGAAGAATAAAGTGAAGGGGGATGAAGAACGAAGAAAAAGGTTGGGTTTCTGTCAGGACAAAACAAAGTAGCTTGGGAAGCAATCAATACAGCAATGGCTGTGCACTTTACAAGTAGTTATTACAGTTCCGGCAGAGATGGCAGAAGGGAACGGCAGACTGGCCATGAGCCCTGGCCCTGGAAGCCTAGATAATGGGTGTTCAGACATGTGAACTTTTCCACTAGTGTGCAGGGCAGTCTGAGTGACCCTGTCTCTCTAAAAAGCCACTTAGTATGTCAGGGCAAAAATAACAGCATCTCGTCGGGGAGTGGTTGAGAGCATGGACTTGAGAAATCAGGCCAATGTAGTTTTATTCCTGGCTCTGCCACTTATAATCTGTTGGATGAGTATTTAATATGTAAGATCAACATGGTAAATCTGTTGCAAGGATTTAATGAGAAAGTGTGTACAGCATGCTTAGCACAAAGCCTGCCTCAGAGTACATATTCAACAAATAGCCATTGTTGTTGTTGGGATGGCCAACCCTATCACAGATACTCAAAGCCATTTTCCTATGACAGGCACTTAATTTTTCCAGTGCATGATGGATGACGCCCACTCCATCTCTTACCTCTTGCATGGACCCTCCTTCTTAAAATAACTGGATTGATATATACATACTACTGTATATAAAATAGATAGCTAATAAGAACCTACTGTATAGCACAGGGAACTCTACTCAATATTCTGTAATGACCTATATGGGAATAAAATCTAAAAAAGTGTGGATATATGTATATGCATAACTGATTCACTTTGCTGTACAGCAGAAACCAACACAACATTGTAAATCAACTGTACTCCAATAAAAAATAATTTAAAAATAACTGAATTCTAGTGTTTGACCTTGACAGATTGACCCTCATTTAAGCTTCTCTATGGATTGCAACTAAGAATTTGGACTCAGTAAGGCAAGGATTCCAACGAAGCACCGTTACTTCCAGTGTGGAGAGACAAACCTCACTTTCAAAAAGGACTGAAGAACAAGCTGATGCCTTCCCACAGTATGACATCAGATGATGGTGCTCTAAAATCTTGTGTGCTGACCGCCCCCACCAAGCCAGGGACTCCGTGCTGATTTGTTTTCTCCCTTGGCTGGCATCCTTGAGATGCTGAAGTCAATTATCTCGTTTTAAGAAGAATGTGTATGTTGTCCCTGAATTGGGAGCAAACGAACCAGGAACATGAACAAAAGAAGAAGTTGGGTGCCTTTAAATGTCTACTCCATACAGTCCTGTAGGGACAGATGCATTTGCTTTCTCTTTATTTTATTAATTATATATTTTCAAAATAAAATTAAAACCTACTGGGCTTCCCTTGTGGCACAGTGGTTGAGAGTCCGCCTGCCGAGGCAGGGGACACGGGTTCGTGCCCCGGTCCAGGAAGATCCCACATGCCGCGGAGCGGCTGGGCCCGTGAGCCATGGCTGCTGAGCCTGCGCGTCCAGAGCCTGTGCTCCGCAACGGGAGAGGCCACAACAGTGAGAGGCCTGCGTACCACAAAAAAAAAAAAAAAAAAAAAATTAAAACCTACTCGTGTAAAAATTTAATCATCATCCCATGAATGGAAAAAGAAAAGTTTCTCCTTTCCACTCGGTTCTTCTCTAATTCTCTGTGCCTTTGGTTCACTTATCTCCATTAACTGTTCCCAATAGTTTTTTGGTGCAGCCTTCCAACGTGCTTCTTAGCATATATAAGTTTAAGTAGGCTTGTTTGTTTCAATTTCAAACAATGCTGAGAAACAGTTATATAATCTTTATCTGTATACTCTTTAATATATGTATATAGATTATATTATATACACACATATTCGTGCAAGAGTAACAGTAGCCTAGAGTACTAGAAACAGAGTTTCTCAGCCAAAGTGAATGTGCATTTTAAATTTGGATGTAAATACCAAATTACTCTTGGGAAATATTGTAGACTCACACTACCAGTAAAGCAAGAGTAACTGTTTCCTTATGCTCTTGCCACAAAAGCATTATTAAACTACTAAATTTTGGTACTCTTTATAAAATGGGAGGAATGACTGTACAGGAGGCCAATGCTAATTGAAGGTCAGTTCTAAAATAAGAGATTTAACCACATATTGTTGTAACTAGGAAAACTAATTCTGGGGTGAGCTCCTGCTCTTTGCCTTAATTTATCCTTTTACCAAAACAGGGCTGTCAGATTGATTTCTTACTTACTTCATGGGAAAATTAGCTCATTAGCACAGTTCTTCTAGGAAGCAGACTGTTCTGAAATGATGAACATAAAGTCCTCTAAAAAACTAAAAGATTGAACCCAGCTCCATGGTCTCAAGATGGAATTTCATTAGGATCTGATGGAAAAGTGTCACCATATCCTTTAGGATTGATTTAGAGATTGTTTCATAGAACTGAAGCAATGCCTGGGGAGAGTGGAAACCAGTAAAAAAAAAAAAAAAAGAAAGAAAGAAGGCCATTGAGAGTCCCTCAGCACAGAGAAGCAAGGGCAGGCCACTGGGGAATGCAGCCACCAGCCAGCCCCAAGCTGAATGACCTGCGTGACAACAGGAACCAGAGGTCTGCTGATCCACTTCTTGCTCGGGAAAGCATTGGGGAAATCTGGTTGAAAAAGTTCAGAAGTAAGTGTCCCATCTGAGTCAACCATGAACACACTTTTCACGTTGTCCTACAAGGCCTCCACTGTCTGCGCCATGTCTTACCCTTTTCAAATCACGGCATGCCACTCTCCCATCTTTAGAGTAAGTGTTGTACATGCATCATCTTATTTAATCCTTGCAGAAAATCTACAATTTTTATTCCCATTTCATAGCTAATAACACTGAGTCTTCGGTCTTAAGATACTGGAGCTTGATTTGAAATCCTGTTTTCAACTATATTACTTTGTGTATGTAATCATTCTCCCCAAATCTCCCACCCCTACATTCACACATTTATTCATTTATGACAGCAAGTAATTGAAAATGTGCCGAGGGACTAACACTGAACTGAGAAATAAGAATACAGATTTCTAGATTGTATTTATTCAACGAAAATTTATTGAGCTCTTACCCCATGCCAGGTTGTGGTTAGAGCAGTGAATAAGGCAGAGAAAATCCTTGCTTAAATTCTTAGTGGAGGGAGATATGATAAATATGTAAGCCAAGATATAAATAAATGAATTTAAATCTGTACATACAATAAAGAAAATAAAAATGGTTAATGGATTAGAGAATCATTGGAAGAACATGAGCTGTGGCCATGTATATGGTGGTACATGTACTTTTGGAATACAGTGGCCAGAGAGGACCTCTCTGGTGTGGAAGGAGCTAGCCATGAGGAAATGTAGGGACAGAGCATTCTAGGTGCTGGAAGCAACCTCATAGATAGGATTATGGGTCCAAATGCCTCACTGCCCTATAATGGGATTATACATCCATTCTATTTGCCAGGTAACTTTGAGGTACACTCCCGTTGTGGGTAGAGTGGATTTCCTGTCTCTCTGATGCTAGGCATAGTCATATAATGTATTTTAGCTGATGGAGTGGTCTTCAAGTCTTTAAACATATTTGCACAGTTCAGCTTGGTCTCATATTCTTGCCACTTGCAATGAAAAGAACATGGCTGGGCAGCAGTGGTTGAAGAAGGATATGATATACCTGGGGCAGGTCTGAACCCAACTCATACCTTAGAGCCAGCCTCAGCCAACTTGCAGCCTGAAGCAGAGCTGGTCCCTGCAAAGCCACAGCTAACCTGCAGAACTGACACAAAGGCACACCCACACATACAAGGTTTATTGTGTTCAGCCACTGACTTGGGGGGTGTTTTATCATGCAGCTTAGTTGACTAATAGAAGGAACCAAAACCCTGAAGTGGGAACAAACTCGGAGTGCTTAGCGAACAGAAAGAAGACCATTGTGACTGGAGCAGTGTGAACAAGTGGGTAGTATTAAGAATGAGGAAGGAAGCAACCATATCTGGCAGGGTCTTGTCCGGCATGTCAAGAATTTTGAATTTTATTCCAAGGGTGAGGATTTTAAGCAGGAGAGGCATACGATCTGATGTATATTTTGAAAAGATCAATTCAAGTGCTATGTTGAGAATAGGACATAAGTTGCCAAGAATAAAAAAGAAGGGAGACCAGATATTAGTACAGTAATCTAGAAAAAAGATGATCAGGGCCAGTACAGTTATTTGGGATGTGCACTGCTGAGTGTATCCAGAGGGTGGGAAAGTGAGTTGAAGTCCAACCCAAACTTGCCCTATTGTGTGTTCTGTTGTGAGGTCCAGAGAAAGTGCCTTTGGCTAATTTGCACAAAAGCATCATATGGACTAGTGATGGCATTGGCATTCATGGTGGCTTGTACTAGGTGATAGTAGATTCAGTTTATTACTTTTTTCCTTTGGTTATTTGATGACTAGTGTTGATCAGAAGAGAAATCTACTGCATCAGAGGACATATAAGATGAACTATATGTATAGAGCTAGTGTGTTTGCAAAGGTATCCTTTTGCCTTTATGTGTGTTGGAAACATTCTGTATGTTATGTTATTGAACGAGAACATATCAAATTAGTGGGTTTGGGAGAATATGGTGTACTTGCTGAGATACAAGACAGAGGCCAGGTGGGGCCAAAGAGACTGCAGAGTGTTTATGTTCCTGTGTCCCAAATGTGAGGTGAACAAGAACATTTGGAGGTTCAACTGTTTGGAGAAGATCTGGTGGTTCTTGGCCGAGTGGACACCACTCCCGGTAGCCCAGGTTAGAGTGATCCTGCTAGGTCATGACATAGTTAAATAAGCCATATGGAAATGAAGGCAACAGTCAACAAGAGTAGAGTGAAGCACATATGAAGACAGGTGGTTCCTCTTTGAAGGAGAATATAAATGGAATCTGTAAAGGGTGGTTAGAGGACAATAAAGGAGAACATAGGAGGAAGGGTTGGTTACAACAAAAAAGGATACACTGAGCCTGTGTTTGCATGTTTCCCCGTAGCAATTGTCCCAACCAGACAAATGAACCAAGTGTTTGTGACTCCGAGTTGCCTTCCCTGTCCTGCCCATTGTCATCTGTGCCTCGGAAGATATTTAGGAGAGACAATATCACCTTACCTTGAAAAATAAAACTCTTCTAGAAAACGTGATGTGCTTTGTTTGGAAATAAGTGGATAATTAGCGTATGTTTATGAAGCATTTACTGTGGGCCTGTTACTAAGTCTTTAATCTTCACATCAACCTGTGGAATGTCGGTTTTATCGTTCTCATTTTATAGATGGAAAAAGTGAGGTTTGGTAAAGTTAAGTTGGCCCAGCCCAAGGTCACAGCCAGGCTCTGTCCTTTATCCTGTGTTGTTGCCATGGTAACATGCTATTGCTCAGGGTTTCTTGGTTCCTCACTGCTCCAAGTAGCGGTGGCATCATATACAGTCCAGGAGTTCAGAGCATTGCTTCTGGGGTCAGCCTGTCCGTGTTTCCTTCCTTCCTTCCTTCCTTCCTTCCTTCCTTCCTTCCTTTCCTTTCCTTTCCTTTCCTTTCCTTTCCTTTCTTTCCTTCCTTTCTTTCTCTCTTTCTCTCTCTCTTTCTTTCTTCTTTTTCTTTGTGTCTTCGTTGCTGCGCGGGCAGAGAGCTGTGGCTACTCATCGTTGCGATGCGGTGGCTTCTCTTGTTGCGGAGCATGGTCTCTAGGCACACGGGCTTCAGTAGTTGTAGCACACGGGCTCTAGAGCACAGGCTCAGTAGTTATGGCACATGGGCTTAGTTGCTCCGTGGCATATGGGATCTTCCTGGACCAGGGCTCGAACCCCTGTCCCCTGCATTGGCAGGTGGATACTTAACTGCCAGGATGAAAGGCATGGAAAATGAAAGGCATCTAATAGATCTTAATAAGTTTTGAGTTCATTCTTACCACAATTATTCTTTTAAAAGTCTGAACACTGATACCATCTTATGTATATTTTTATGTGGCCTGAATATTTTTTTCTCTATTTGTTTCATCAATGGTGTTATAATGTGTACCTTTTTACTAAATGTGGCTTTAAATTGTGGAATTGGGTGGAAGGGGTAGGGATGCTTAGGAAAAGGAAAGAGGGCCTCACGATTGCTTGGAAGATTAAATGGGGTCATGGACTTTGGGAAGTAGAAAGTACCACACCAATGAAATAGTTATTATCTGTCTTATTAGACCTTTCAAACATGCGGTGATGGGGGAGTTGGGTTCTGTGATGTGTATTCTGGTGAAGGGCCTGCTGCCGCTGACCTCCCAGCTTTGACCACCCCTCAGCCTCCACCCTCTTTTGAATCCTCTCCCAGCCATTCACTCTGCTGCTTCTAAGAGCTACTGCCAGAGGCAAGGAAATTAAATTAAAGCTCATTTTAAAAGAGTGTGTGCACTGTGAGTCCTATCTGCCCTTCTTTCAGTGAAAGATCAAAATGGGTTTTGGGCTTCTCGTAGTAGTGAGCCTGTCTCTCAGATAGATCTCATTTATTTGAAGTCCTCATTAATGATATCCATACAGACATGGCACAAATAAAACTTCTAGGGATCAAAAGGCAGAAAATCATTGATTTGCTTCCTTGTGTAACTGTCAGCACAACCATGGCTACTGGTGACCTGCTGTTACTGTTAATTAACTAATCCATGTGCTGGTTAATTCATTACATGTATATTAAGTGGCTGCTAAGTATCAGGTGTGCTCTGTATGAGAGCAAAAGAGATGACTGAGACCTGGTCTTTGCCCTGGAAAATCTCGAAATTCAGTTGGAAAGAAAATTCATGTGTACAAATGACTTTATTTCAAGGTAATTTTCCAAATGTGTAATAGATACATTAGCAGGATAAAGTTTATTAACCGGGTGGTGGTTATAACACCTCCCCTTTCATATAGCTTCCTGTTATGTTTACCTTTATTTCCATCCCCTTGAGAGTGTCTGCCTCTGCCAGATGGTTTCTAGGTGTGTGTGTGAGAGAGAGAGACAAACAGACAGATAGACAGACACATGGAAGGGAGGGAGGGAAGGAGAGAAAGATGCAGGATCAGAAAATGTATACAGAAGAATAAAATAAAGACTTGCTGGAAAAGTTTATCTTGTTTTCATAATATAGATGAGCAAGAGGAAAGCAGGAAATAAAGTAAGAAAGAGCTGGGGTGAATTAGGTGCTTCATGATGCGAGGGTGTCTGATGTTTGAGAGCTCCATAGAATTAGGGAATGAGAGAAGAATTTTTTGGCCTGTAAAGGCTCTCCTTTGTCATATAGCACCACTCTGAGACTGAACCACGCATGAGTCATGGCCTTCAGAGGGTTATAGACATGGAGTCTCAGAGGAGTTTGCAGGAGACAGAGTCGCTCTGGTAGGGATGGCTGGAAAACATCATGGAGGTGATGGCTTTTGAAATGGGCCCAAAAGAATGGATGGATTTTGTTATATAGTGAAAGAGTCTATAGAGAGACTGTGTTGTGGCCAGGGGGCATTTTTAAAATAAAGTAGCAGAGTGGAGCAAAGTCTTTTGGAGATGCTATTGCAAGTAGTCTGGGTTTTATAGGCAGTGATAGAATAAAACCAGAAAAGCTGGTTGAGGTGAGAAATCAGCGAACCAACTTCTAACACAACACTGATTTTTATCACAATATGTCCTTCTTCATTTG